GATTAACTGATGTGTTTGCCCATTGGATTTTTCTCCTCAAATCGATCTGCGCTCTCGCTGTGTATAATTTTCAGGGTTTGAGGTTAATGAATCACAAATATAACCATCCTAAAGAGGCGCTGGCATCATAACCATCCGAGTTAGATGAGAATTACACAATATTTACTAGAACTCGAGGGATGTAATGTGCAACCATATTCACTGCATAAAAAAAATCATATAAAATTCTCTGCAAGAACAAGTCAACTAGGTGCCACAGTGACAATCTCCATCTGCCACCTTTAGTTAGAAACATTTCTCAGCTTTCGCTGATTAATCGCTCATGTTATTGTAAAGCACAACAAGAAGCTTCACACAATCTTGCTCAGGTCTTTATTAGTGCTAAGAAGAAGCATGTTACAGTAAATTTGAAGGCTAAGGAAAGAGCTGGGATGTTGCTATTTTGTAGCCTACATTTTGTCTACATCCATCTCCTTTTGGAGCACCTGCTGAGGGGTGAACACCTCTTGGGTTTGCCCGAAGGTTGATTGCTCATCTTCTGTCACAGCAGGGTCTGTATATCCCTCTTCACCCTCCAGTTCTCGAGGCTGTATGACCTCTGCCTGCTGTCCTTGCTCGGAGGTGATGGTGTCTGGAGTCTCTGGAGCCTGAGGCTTGTCTGCAGACTCCTCTCCGTCTCGCTCGGTGCCCTCAGTCGCCTCTTGAAAAGCAGCTTCTTTGTCCTCCTCTCCGGGATCACCGACCCGCTCTCTTCCAGACTCAATGGTAACCACCGCAGCTCCTGAGTTGGACTGGGGTTGTGGTTCTCTAGATGGATCTACATCAGATACAGTCTGCTGCTCTGGTTCAGTGACCTGTCCACCTTCAGGATGCTCAGTTGAGACTGAGGGTTCAGGAGTTTCTCCTTCAAATGCTTCTGGTTTGGCCTCGGCTTCAACGCCCGTTTGAGGCTCATCTTGTTGTTTTCCTCCAACGGTTTCCTCCAGCTGTGGCAAACACAAAACAGCCTTTAAATGAAGTCAAGAGCTTAAATGCCACATCAAGACCCTAAAATGCCAGGGTCAGTGTACACAAAAATGATTAATTTTCTGGGTTGTGAAGAAAGGCCATATGTCCCCTGCGGGAAAATAAGCTTGCATTTAAACTCTTTGTTGGTTATTAGAACAATTATGAGCTTGGTAATTGGAATTGCTGGGCGATTAATTTATGAACTGACTTTAAATTTGGCATTTAATGATTACACGGCATTGTAGAATCGTATACCTCTAATTATTTCTGAAATCCTTTTAGCTTTAATGTAAAAAACATTTTGTTTTGAAGCCTGTTATGACGGCATGCCTTAATAAATTGGCGTAACCCGAAAAAGACATGCAACGGGTAAACAATATCTGGCTCAACACAACAAAATAATTGAAATAATAGGTTTTGAGAAGTCCTTTTCTCCCATTTTCTTCCATGCCTGTATTACACCCTAGTTTCCACTGCAAACTTAAATTGCAGTCAGCTTTTTGCCAATAGACTGGCTAATATTACAGCTTCTGGGAGACAGTTACTTTATCTGCGATGTCTAGCTTTTATACAAAGCCAATTAGGCACCGGTGGATGGATGAGTAGTGTTTACCCCTTGGATTTACCGAGAAAAGTTTTCAATAATGATAATAATGGGGCCATTTCACTGTGAATGACAGAAAGCACCACTTAAATGTAATATGGTGATATATTATAAACAAGTGCAATGCATGCCACCCAGAACACTCAGTGCCTAATTTTGAGCTTCAATAAGTGAAAATGTTCAGACTGTATGATTACAGATTAAACAGCTGTCAGAACTAATCAATACTTGGATGGGGATATTGACATCAGCAGGGAGGGGAATGCCGGCTGATGGTGCTTCCACTGTAAGAATCCCATCGGAGGACAGACAGGACTGGAGACTTTCAGCTTCAACACCACCTGGAAGTCTTAGGCAGTGGTGAGAAAAAAAATTCTGATAATTAGTTTTTATTGATCAACAGCTTTGTGAAAATTTCACACACACTGTGCTAAAACAGAATAAAATAGACCTTTAGTCCACCATTCAAAGGATTTTTTCCAAATAAATTATTACTTTTATTCAGCAAGAACACATTAAATTGATCAAAAGTGACAGTATATAGAATTTTACACAACATTTCAAATAACTTCTGCTTTTTTAAACATTTTATGCATCAAAGAATCCTGAAAAAAAATCAAAAATATCAAGCAGCACAACTGTTTGAATTATTTTACAACATTGATAATAATAATAATAATAAATGCTTCTTGAGCCGCAAATCAGTATATTACAATGATTTCTAAAGGATCATGTGACACTGAGGACTGCAGTAATGATGTTGAAAATGTAGCTTTCCCATCACAAGCATAAATTACATTTTAACAGTTATTTAACAATGTAATAATATTTCACAATATTACTGTTTTTACTGTATTTTTGATGTACTTTTGAACGTGCTTGTTAACACTTACGTGTATTTTCTTGTGAAACATCTAGCAATGTAGCCATGCTCATCTTGTCTTTCCTCGTGCTTTCCTATAGATCAACAAAATCAGAGATTAATAACTTTAGCTCAAAGAAGAGCATTTTATATTTTTGTGATTTTTTAAAAAAGTATTTAAAAATGGAACTTTCAATAAATATATAAATAGTGTCATTTATTAGCTGACATTAAATGCAAAATTATATATGAAGAGTTCAGATGCAAAAGCCTCTAAGTGCCTAAAATGAGCATTTTTCTCAGGCTCCTATATTTATGTTCAGTTCTTTCACTTTAATTGCATAGAAAAAAACCTATACATTGCCATTAGACTAAAATTACTGAACATAAACATAGGAGCCTGATAAAAAAAGTGCTCAATTTAGATGAAAATGTCAGACGGCTCTTAGAGCCTTTTGCATCTGAATATATATATATATATATATGTGTGTGTGTGTGTGTGTGTGTGTGTGTGTCTTTATCTCTTTATAGTAGTCTTTATCACCCATACCTGCAACTACTAAAAGTCCATCCTGCATTTTGACAGTGATCTCCGAGGGAGCGAAGTGATTGACATCCAAGCTAATTTTCCACTTGCACATCCCACCAACCACTTCCGACACCCCTCCACTCATCTCCCTTCGCAGCTTAGACATGCACTGTCCTGGGGCCTGAGCAAAGGGAGTGAACACGGGTGTGCGCAAGTACCCAGGCCAAGACGACGTCCCCAGCCTTCTGAAGATGCCCTCCATCCAGCTGAGGTCTTGAGGGTCCAATAACGGAGGCAGGCCGTAATGTTGGTTAAAGATTACGCTGGGCCATCTGTAGCTCAGGGGATTCCAAGATACATCATGACAATATTGAGGCCTGGATGGTGACTTGATAGCATCCGCCATAGTGAGAAAATTGAAGCGTGAAAGGAAGAAAAAGATTTGGAAGGTCCAGCCACAGTAGAATTAAAGAAGCGCTAACTGTACCAAAACGAGACCACTGCGAAATAAAACCAACCCCAAATGTGAGCGGCAGACATCGCAGACGCTGTTTATATAGCGTCCTTGTGTTTTAACACTTACTAAGCACTAACCATGATGCTATCAGAGGAGAATGTAGGAACGAAGTGATGGCTAGGTTCAATCTGCTGCTGGAAGGGTGGAGGGACTCTATGGGAGATGCTAATTAAGGATATTTATAGATCGAAAAGGGAAGCAACAAATAGCTATTTGATGAGAACGAACAGCCTGAGTGAAGTCCTGCTTAGCCTTTGACAGGCAAAGAGCTTTTTATTGAACTGATCGTTAATGGCGATGTAGAAACTATTAAAGTGTTGCGGTGTCTATATAGAGGTTGTGAAGGCGTCTAAGTGCTTGTTAACTTTATTTCTTGGAATCCGAATGAAAGAGTGCACAGGAGACTTTCTTTAATGGGCCCAGTGCAGCCAACTCACCATTATTAATCTCAGCGCCGAGGCATACAGCTGCTGCACAATTATGTTTTCTCAACACTTTATTGTTGTGTTCAGGTTCTATTTAATATTCTGTGTTTCGGGAGTCTGTACCTGGTGTGCAATATGATTAAAAATGTATATGATTAAAAATGTATATCATTGAATATTATTTCACTAAGTGTTACTATAAAGATGCTTGTTATTTTAAACTTACACAGTTTAGCCTGAGCAATATCTGTGATGCACAACTGTGCTAATAATCCATCCAGCATGGCTTCAAATGGGCTGTCCGTGGGCTGGACAGGTTCAGGCTGGTTTTTTAATCGTCTTTTTACCACTGGAGACCAAGCGGCCAACATTAGGCTGAGTTTGCACTGTGAGACTTTATGTTGAAGACCGCTGCTGCTTTTATATGCCTGAATATATCTGAACCGCCGTTCAAAAGTTTGAGGTTGATAAGATTTTATTAATATTTGTGAAGCCTCTTAAGCTCACAAAGGCTGCATATATTTGATTAAATAGAGTAAAAACTCTTATATTGTGAAATATTATTACAACTGTTTTCTATTTTAATATATTTTAAAATGTAATTTATTCTTGTGACTTTCAGCATGATTACTCCAGTCTTCAGTGTCACACGATCCTTCAGAAAAATCTGAAACATTTCTTACTATTATCAGTGATGAAAACAGTTGTGCTGATGCATTTTTTCTTTGATGAATAGAAAGTTTAAAAGCATTAATAGCATTTTAATTAATAAAAGCATTGATAGCATTAATTTGAAATAAATGTATTTATTTATTTGAAATATTATAGATGTCTTTACTGTTACTTTCGATACATTTAATGCACCCATACTAAATAAATGTATTCTTTTTTTTTTTTGCAAAACCATACTAACCCCAGTCTTTTGAATGGTAGTGTGCAGTATATAATCCATTATAATTTTAATAAACTGATTATTGTTCTTCTTTCAACCCAAAATTTCACCGCGGGCAGGGACCACTGACCCGTAGAGTCTACAGTTCACTCAGACGGAGCTGCGCTGAGGATGTGTTGGAGTCACTTCACCTGGAACCAAAAAATCTCATCACGAATTATCTGGGACAAGTAGACAAGGTACTACGATCTATGCAAGACATCACAAGCATGTTAAGACTAAGCCAGGATTAGGCCATTGTTCAATTAGGACATTTAAGTAATTTTTATTATCATGCCTTAAAAAAACATTACTGGTGTGCATCGTGAGACAAAACAAAGGCACTGATATATTTTAAGATCAGTCGGTGCAAGTTTCTTTCAATTAAAACAGCTCAGATTTACACTTTAGTCTGGGACTAGGCTTAAGCCTTGTCTGTGAAACCGGGGGTATATCTGCTAACAATATTTAATATTTAAACACTTAGTTTTATTATCAAATATCTGTTGTAGTTTGTGTGTGTGTGTGTGTGCATGTTTATATTGTTTATGAGGACACAAATTTGTATAATAACATGGGTATGACATAGGTATTACAATGAGAAGGTGATTTATGAGGACATTTTCAGTGTCCTCGTAATTCAAAAGGCTTATAAATAATTCAGAAGGAGTTTTTTTGAAAATCTAAAAGTGCAGAAAGTCTCCTGTGAGGAGTAGGTTTAGGGGTAGGGTTGGTGTAGGGCAATAGAAAATACGGTCTGTACAGTATAAAAACCATTACGCCTATGGAGAGTCCCCACTTTTCACAAAAACAAACCTGTGAGTGTATGTGTGTGTGTGTGTGTGTGTGTGTGTGTGGAGGGCAAAACATATAATGCAATGATTAAAAGATCAAAAGCCTGATGCATGATATTTGATATTCACATTTTAACATGATTTTCTAAGCTCTGAATGTTCTCTGACTGTTGAAAACATTTACATTTTAAAAAACATTTTTTATTGCGTATGTGAACATTAGAGAAAGCATTAAGAGAACATTTCATTTTATCATTTAGAGAATATTATGGGAATGTTTTTTGAATGTTTTCTGAAGTAACGTCCAACTAAATACCTAAGTGTGTGTGTGTGTGTGTGTGTGTGTGTGTGTGTGTGGTGGGCAAAACATATAATGCAATGATTAAAAGATCAAAAGCCTGATGCATGATATTTGATATTCACATTTTAACATGATTTTCTAAACTCTGAATGTTCTCTGACTGTTGAAAACATTTACATTTAAAAAAAAAAATTTTATTGTGTATGTGAACATTAGAGAAAGCATTAAGAGAACATTTCATTTTATCATTTAGAGAATATTATGGGAATGTTTTTTGAATGTTTTCTGAAGTAACGTCCAACTAAATGTTTCACCAAAAAATTATGATGTATAAATTAAGTTTTTGTGCTAACATTCTGAGAATGTTATTAAATACCAGTTGACTTTATAACATAATGAATGTTCTACTAACATTACTGAAAGAATGTGTGTTTATAAGTTCAGAGAACATTCCCTGTTAGCTAGGAGCCTTTTTTTAAACGTAACTACTGTACTGTCCTTTTTGACTCTGACGTGATTAGTGTGGACTTTTTCTCCCATGAAGCACTGTTCAAGCTCTCCTCACCTCCGCAGGCCATACACATCTGTCTTGATCCTTGAACTAAAGTACTCCAATTACTCTTAATGGACATGGATACAGAGCAAATTAATGACACTGACAGCATCACCTGTGATAAGGGCATCACCTTTTCCCACTTTGCACTTCTTTTCTCTTGTTCTGAGAGAGCCTGTTCCATAGAGGCTTGTAGCTTTAACAGTGAAGGATACTCTCCAGTTCTTCTGAGGGGTTCAGCACGGCTCGGTGTTGCTCCCAGTGGCTTTACATAACCCACACAGATGTAAAGAATGAGATGCAGAGGCTGTCATTGGAAACACAATGACTCCTGTGAAGTGGGCCTCAGCTATGCCATCACTTCCTATTACTACATGCCTTAAACAGCTACAGATCTGCACAGAGCCTAACGCATTATGGGAATTTACAATGTCAAATGAGTGCCAGAGCTGTGAGCTTTCCATTTATTATCATTATATGTTTAGGCATGCAGGGGCAGGTTGCATTTGTGTGTTCTCAGTATTTAAAGTGACAGGAAGAGATTTGTTATTAGGTAGCATGGCAACAGTAACGTAAGGAATGCTGTTATGCAATTGTAAGTACCGTTTGATATTTCCACCGTGCTTTTTGAAACTGTTTCAGTGCTCTTAAAACTATTCTCCCAGATGGTCTGTTTAACATTCAAGTTGCATAATCGGTTGTTGTACACATTCCTTTTGCGTCGAAACCGGGTAGCGTGAAGCTTCTCCAAGGATAGACTAAACAAATGTCCTTCGTGCTCCTGTGATGTGCTTTTATTTGCCACCTGTGTGCTCATTTCTCAGAAGCAATGAAGCGAACATATGAACGTTTGTATTTTCCTAAGGAGGATTTTGATGTATTCTACAGGGAGTATTGTAAGATACTGTTGTTGTTTTTTTTTAAAGCATGCACTTTTTAAAGTATTACTTTAATAGTGTAGTGTGAGGGAAGCTGCTGTAGTTAGGCAGGATACTCATAATTAAAAGTAATTCAGTAAAGCTGCCCTCTTGAAAGTAGTTTGCAAATAATAGAGATAATGAGGCAGTTTCTTCATTAATGTTTAGCTTTCAGATGTTGCCAAACCTGAAGAGTGTTTATCTGGCACAAAACAACTATAACTATAAAACTATTTACAAATTATACTAATTTTAAAATGAATCGATCAATCCAAAGCTATGCACTTACTTATTTTGCTAATTTAAAAAAATGAGGAGCACCTTCTGATCAGTGACAGAAATTAACTTTCTAAGGCCATATTTGCCCCCTTAAAATGTTTTCCAGGGGTATTTTATTTTATTTTATTTTATTCGTATTTGTTTTTATTTTATTTATTTATTTTAACCTTTGTATGGGTATTTTTCTATTCTTTAAATGTATGTCATCTTTTATGAAAAATCTTACAATGACAAATAAAAAGTAATAATTAAAAATAAGACAATAAATTCAAATTCAAATGAAAATCACTATTTGTGAGCTTCCAAATATATTTTAATGTGCGTCCATTATTTTATTTTATTCGTATTTGTTTTTATTTTATTTATTTATTTTAACCTTTGTATGGGTATTTTTCTATTCTTTAAATGTATGTCATCTTTTATGAAAAATCTTACAATGACAAATAAAAAGTAATAATTAAAAATAAGACAATAAATTCAAATTCAAATGAAAATCACTATTTGTGAGCTTCCAAATATATTTTAATGTGCGTCCAAATACTTTTTTCACAGTCACACTGTAGAGTCTCGTTTATTTGATCAATTTATTTGATAAAAAAAACATACTGATTCAACTAAATCAAGTTTATCAGCAATAGAGAATGAACATGATCATATACTTTCTAAAAGAGATAAATGTTGCTGCAATGGAGAGTCTCATTTGGAGTCCCCAGGGCTCTGGTCTTGTGGTCTATAATCTTTTCTTGATCCATCCTGTCTTTTAGAAGTTAAGCCCATAAAACCTGCAACCCACCTCTGTTGTATATTAAATATAAAATATGTTCAAATTTGACAGCTCCTTGGCTTTCATTGTGGAAGGACAAATTACTTGTTGGAAAAGTTCAGCTTCTAATTATAAAATTATAAATAATATGTTATTTTGTTCACGTCATAGCGCTGCTCACAGTTCAAAATCCTGCTCCACTAAGCTATGCATTAAAAATCAAATGCATTCTGAATGGGTGTCATCGTGTCAACATAATCCATAAACCTCATTGATTATGGTCCTGTTGAACATATTATGCCATTTTTAGTAACCAAGCATGGTCAATGTGAAGTCGATTCGCTCTTTAAGGTAACCGTTCTTTAAACTGTGTTTAAATGTGGCTCGTATGTTGTGGCTTTAGGCCCAGCAGGGGTAGAGCAGTGGAGGCAGAGCTTTCTGGCATGTCTGGCTCAGACACAAGCAGATTTACTGCAAATGAGATCATCTATCAGCAGGGGAGAGGAAGGATGTGGACAAGGGCATGGAGGACATGAGTGAGGGAGCGGCCGGAGCAGAGACCTCTGCCCAAGAAAGGACACATTCTTTCAGCCTCTGTCTCTTTTTCTACCTCTTTTCCAGAATTATGAGATGGAACTGACCTGTGGTACTTCATAGTGGAGGGAGCTGCATTCAGAGATGCATGCACTTTTACAGTGAACTGAAGCACTGTTTTTTATTTTATTTCGGGCATTTGCCTTTATTTGAACGAATAATAGCAACTGAAAATAATGCATAATGCAAATTTCTGCTTTTAATATTTAGCTTAACATCGCGATATATAACACGCTATATTAAAGGCACAGCTAAATGTGACATTTATTATAATGGATTTATGTGAAGATTGTTTTTGGTTCATTTAAATGAAAATTTATTTTTTTCAATGTTTTGTAAAAGTTTAGGCCTATTAAATGTTTAAAATGATGGCACAAATTTTACTATAATTTTGAATGGCTATATGTACTTATTTGATCAGAATCAGAATCAGAATGAGCTTTATTGCCAGGTATGTTTATACGAGGAATTTGTTTTAGTGACAGAAGCTCCACAGTTATCCTGAGAACAGGTACAAGTGATACTGACTTTAATTCATAGTAAGTAAAACTTGTTATTAATCAAATATTTAAAATATACCGTCTTTATGTGTTTCTACGTTATTTTGAGGATAATGTGAAAAATATTTATTTTATTACAAACTTTAATTTTCAGTGCAATTAATTGTGATTAATTAAATAAAAATGTGTTTACTTTTTTATTTTTTAAATTTTTTAATCAACTGACAGCAGTAATACATGTCTATATATATATATATATGCATTTACATTTAATCATTTAGCAGACGTTTTTATCCAAAGCGACTTACAAATGAGGAGAACAATAGAAGCAATCAGACGAACGAGAGAGCATCAGTATACAAGCGCTGTGACAAGTCTCAGTTAGTCTAGTAAAGTACACATAGCTAGGTTTTCTTTTTGTTTTTTTTAATAGAATAGAATAGAATAGGTAAGTTCTAGTATTAGTTCGTCAGGTGCTGGCAAAAAAGATGTGTCTTTG